GTCTTCTGCTGGCGCCTCTTGGCTCTCTGCTTTCTTTTCTCTGCGGGCACGTTGCTGAGTTCTATGTCCCAAGTGAGGAGGGCTTGACTCGGTTTGGCTTGGTCCATACCCCATTTGCCTCGAACAGCTTGGCCCTCTTGGCAGGTCTGCGTTGCAGGTTGGGCGCTTTGCGCTTTCGTTCCGAAGGTTTGTCCCATGTCACTGTAACGCCCAGCTGTCTGTGTATCATCCCAAAATCTGTGAACCGGCCTCGCGGGGCAAAACTTCCCCCGCTTGGCCCGTCAGCGGGGTTCCACTCACTGGGTACCCATGGGCAGCGGAACAAAGTCCCTGATCCCAAACACAAAGCAGCCGTCTGCTGAACGACCCGTTGGAGCCTAAAACTCTCTGCGCGACCCTCGTCAAAAGAAACAGCAGCTGTCACGCTATCCGTGAGAACAATGAACTTCTTTCCAAAATTCTTTTGGTTCCTCAAGATATGTCTAACAGCATACTGGGTGGCCCGGGCCTCGTATACAGGCATTGTCTCCTCTCTCTGCCAGCGCTTTCGTCCAACAACCTGCCACTGTCGGTCCACAGCGGTGAAAGGCGCCCCCTTGAACTTTAGGGCAGGGTTTGGTTCTTCATCTTGGGCGCGGTGAACACCTTCAAGCTCCCCTGCAACTTGTACAAAGGTGTGAGGGTTGTTGCATCCATCTTCCTTGAACCTCCATCTCTCAACAAAGCGACCCAGTTGCTGCGAAAACTTTGGTCCAATCCGAAGCGTCGACGGCATAGATGGTGTCCCCCCAAACAAGCTTCATGTTGACCCGTATAAGAGGCGCCAAACCATCCCACTGCCAAAGCTCTTTGCGAACACTTTTCCACAGGTTCGTACTGCGCGTAAAGTTGCGCTTGATGAAGGTGTAACAATCCCCAAGAACTGAAAGGGACTCACGCCGACAAAGTGAGACGAAGGTCATGTGCCCGATCAAGCGTTCCAGTTGCTGGCCACTTGCGCGGCCCCGTCGCAGCAGCTCTCGTACGCCCAGCCTGCAACGCCACAACCGGCTCAGCGCTGGAGCCAAGAAACCACCGTCCTCGATCTCCCAACCCAGAACCTTGCTGGACCCATCTGCCATTTCTATTTCATGTACTGTCAGGCCGGCTGCCCGCAATGCTATGACCGCTTTCCAAAACCTCTCTTTGTCGTTGCCAAAAATGTGTAAGTTGTCGACATACTGGACATGAAGAAGGGGGAGGTTGACCGTCTCTCAGCCTCTCTGAAGGAAGCAGCCCGGACCTCTCGCAGATCCGTTCACTCATCCTCTGGCGCCACCACATAGCATGAGACCACCCATTGGAATCACTGCGACGCGAGTGTAAACCCATGAGGTGGGTTGTACCTCTGAGCTAGCAATTCCAGACACCCCCAGCTCTCCAGCTTGCACTTTGCGAAGCCCAAAAAACTTTTGAAGTGTACCTGGCATGGCCATCGTGTAAAAAGCATTCTGAAGGTCAGCGCTGGCAATGTACAACTGGCCCTGCGGCCTCAACTCCATGCGACTCATGCTCTCACCAGTGGCCAGCTTGATGTCCTTCATTGTTGTGAAATGGCAGTTGCTCCGTCTACAGTCCAGGATCATCCGCAGCTTGCCACCTTTCTTCTTCACAAAGAAAATTCGAAAACGCCAACTGTCTCCACCGCTGGCTCCAATCCCAGGGCGATAAGCCCCAGGTCCAGCCGCTTCAAGAAACCTGCATACTTCTTGCGATCTTTGAATTGCGGGTCTTCCTAGCATTTGTTCAGGCCGCATTGGTCTAAACGCTCGTGAGCTTCTGCTATGTCCAGCGTCTGGTGAACGGTGAAATCAATCCACCTCTTGTTGCCCGCCCTCACCCCATAAGCTCTCCAAAGGCACGGGATTCATACCCTCAGACGGTAATGAGACAAGGTCAGGATTGAAGGATCCAAGGGGGCACGAAGTCGGCAAGTCATCGTACCCCTCAGCAACCCGAAGCTCCTCAAGGGCCTCTGGGCCAGAAAGCAGAGGTGGAGCCCTGCATGCATCTTCAACAAATTCCAAAAAATGAGCCTGGCCGGAACTGATGGCCCCATTGCTCGACCCGCCATACCTCTTGTTGTGAGGTCCCCCAGGCTTACCATACATAGTGTTGAGGGCATCCACTGCTCCTTCTCAGTCTCGATCTTGACGTGGCCCAACAGCTGGGGACAAATCACCAATGTACTGTATTGTCGTGCGATGCCCCCACACGTGGTCTGCTCTTCTAGACTCAGCCGGCCTCCTACGGCCTTTGCCTCCAAATCCTTTGCCTTTTCACTGTAGGAGTATTCGATGGTTTGGAGACGCCTGAATTGTATCTCAATGCTCAACAAATTGTAGGGGTCGAGCTGGTCCACGAGGAGGGTGTGGCGAAGGGCCATGCTGACCTGGAAATGTTCCTGGATTCCCCAGCTGCTAGCATCAGCCCTTGTGACCTGTCGTAGTCTTTCACGGTGGCCTTCGAAACCCAGGTTCTCGATGGCCAGGTAGTTGACGCGCCACTTGCTAGTGCGAAGACCCGCCAACTCCCACCTCACCTTTGTCTCAAAGCCCATGGATGCAACCTCCTTCAAGGTCCTCTCTGGTTGTCCAATGGGGTTCAACTCAACTGGTAGTACCTTGGATCTGACTTGGCTGGCTGCTGCAAAAAGACTAAAATAGTCTTGCCCATCAACACACTGAACAAAAACGCTGACGCCATCCGCCCCAACATGAACAATCTTGCTGTCCTTGGCAAGGGGGTTGGGTACACCAGTGACTTCTTGTCCAAATTGGTGGGATCCTATCGTCTCTGCAGCCAGACATTTCAGGGTCGGGGTCAATCTTGATGCTCACAGGGGCCCCACCAACAACTGCCGGCGCAACAGCTGCACCGGCGGCTGCCAAGGCACCGCCTCCACCGCCCATAGCCCGCCTCTCTTCATCGGCTACTCGTCGGCCCTCCTCCCTGAGATTATGCAGGTCGTTTGCAGTCCAAGCCGGAAGGGGATAGACCTCGGCCGCGTTCACATCTCCAGGCAGAATACCTGCAGCAGGTCTCACATGGAGGGTTCGTACGTCGGGGTTGAGCAGTCCCAACTCCTCAGCATAGACATCACGGTCTGGTGTCGCTATGATGTAGATCTCACCGGCCACATGACTTAGCACGAGGCGTTCGTGCCAAAGCCGGGGTCCAGGTACATCGTACTCCAAAAGGATGTGTCTATTGACCAAAGCCACGCCGGCGTAGTCTCAACTCTGCTAGCTGCCTCTGTGCCAAATCACGCCTTTGAAAAGGAGAAGCACCTCCTTCTGTCAACGCCTTTAAGCTCTGCCGCCCCCACACACACTAACCAACAACAATGAGACCAGCCAGTAAACTCAACAGCAATGCCAACAACTGACTCAAACTCAACTGTCCCTGATCGAAGCCTCCCACCAGCACCTTGGCTTCTGCCTCCGGCTTTCGCCGCGAAGTCCAAGGCTGTCCACCTGAAGTGGGAGGCTCGTCCTCAGGGTCACGGGATCGCTCGGCCAAAGTGCAACAGAGAGATGTCTTCCTGCAGCCTCTGGGTGTAGTAAAGGTCAACACCAACCAATCCCACTAGGGCTACCTGACAAACCAAGGCCAGTCGGTAGCCTAGGGGATAGCCCATGGGCCACGACCGCGCGCCGCCCGGGTTTTTGTCTTGAGCGGCGAGGGTGGCGGCCATAAACACTTCAAGAAAACCCTTCTGCAAATCCGTGTCTCACCTATGTATATATATATAATAGCAGTTGAAAGCGCTCAACATTTGTCCGAATGCTTGCAACCCAGACTCCTATCTCGAGTACGTGTTTGCCGCACTGATGGAAAAACTTGTGAATCATGCTCCGACAAAGTCGAATTGATGAGCAGTTTTGAGAGAGATTCAGCCACTGGCCAAGCACCATAGCCGAAGAGCAGATCACAAGGATCTTCGTCGAGTTCCCAATACTCCACCTGCACAACTCCAAGGCGCTTGGAATGAGTTTAAGGCATTGCCTTCATCTGGTTGGAGGACACCAAGAATAACTTGCCAATTCTAAACTCTAACAATCAAACTTGAAGCGTGCCGGGGTGCCTCGATGCCGCGATAGTGAAAGGTCCGACGACCACCAGAAAAAGTCGCGTCTGGCTCTGCCAGCTGATCCAAAAGCTCGGCTGCGGCTGCTGCCACCTCGTCATCGCCTAGTGAAAGAAAAGCTGAGCCGCAGCAAGAAAGGAATGAGGACAATTTGGACGAAGATTCTGAAACGGACAGCGATAACAATGGCCTCCAACCTAAGAGCGATGGCCTCCAACCTATAAGAACCTAATAAATGAGACGAAATGTGAAGTCTCAAAACGTGTCAAGCAAACTTGGTGCCACAGGTACCGCTGCAGCATAGAGGACAAAGCAAGTGGCGCTGATGCCGTAGCTCTGGAGCAAACTGAGGCAGCTTTGACTGCAAAGATTGCAATGCTTTCAAAGGTTCTCCAGATCGATATCTGCAGCATCGTCAAACATAGACCATTGGCAAATGGTCGGTCAACTAGAGCTCACAGGGCAGGCGGTTCGAGCCACGGGTACTGACAAACACCTCCAAACAAGCAACACACTAGTTTGTTCTTTCCGAGGGGCTGCTGCTGGTCTTCTCCGTTGGCCGTTCCACATCCTAGGTACAGCACGTTGCTGTCAATTGATCTGCATCACTTAGGCTTTAATACACCCGTAGACGCTTACCATCTACCACCAATCGTTTCAATGGCTCAGTTTCAAGCATTCGCAGGCATAGGTTTGTCCTCTGGGAATTGCTGGCGCTTTCGAAGTCGCTCTCGCTCCTAATGGCAGCTGTTTCGACACTCATCAGTGCAACACATCAGTCCAACACTGGTCAAGAAAAACACATGACTTCTTTTCCATGTGAAAAAAAAGTGTTGAAACGTGCGGTCACTGTGATTGCTCCTTTCGAGCTTCAGCATCCAACATCATTAAGCCCTTGTGAAGGTCCAAGGTCTGCAGCCAAACCATGAGACACCGGGAGCTTAGGCGCCCCGGTACGCAAAACGCAAAACGTAAGGTTCCGCACGTCTGTAATCCAAAACGTGCAGCCCCCCTCCCAAAATCCAGGCCCCATCCAAATACCTATATGCATTTACTGTCCTCGGGTAAATGCATCTGTGTGGTCTGGAGGTCCACTTTGCGGAAATATGTTCGTCTTTCAATACAGAAGCTATGGGCTACTGCTGGACGCTTTTCTCTCACTCTTGGAAATGCATTTGGGTATGGGGTGCTACTGGATGCATTTTTCTGGTTCTTGAAAATGCATTTGGGATGTTTCTGTCTTCAATGGCCTTGTTCTGTTTACGCATGAGGAAGTTCCAAAAACGCATCTGAGCTCCAAAACGTGGGAACGTACGGCTGGAAACGTGAGTTTTAAAACGCAAGGTTCGATCGCACAAAACGTAAGTAACCAGGCAGCTAAGACCGGGAGAAACCACAAGATTCATTCAATGTTGAATGCTGAACCCAAGGTTTATTTGATGCCTTGATGCCTTTAGTTAATTCTATATAGTTAATAGTTGCTTATTGTCTATCTTCTTCTGACAAAAAGAGGTTCGCACCTTACTGGCTGATGAAATGGCCTCCTCCGCAGTGCGGCGGGCCACCGAAAAGCTTCGGGCCAAGCGATGTGTGAAGCCTCGGCCTGAAGCCTTGGAGCCTCAAACATGTGCTTTCACAAATCAAAGAAGGAAAAAGAGGACGATGTTGTTTCTAATGGCTTCTTGCTACTAGTTACTAGTAGTAAGGCCAGGAGCCCCTAGTAGCGTCCTTGTTCCTAGTAGCGATGCCCTTTGCTCCTAGTAGCTTCTTGTTCCTACAAAAGGACGCTATTGAAAGGAATATTACAAGATCGAAAAGGGATGGCCAAAACCTTTTGATAGGTCGGTCTTTGCTTTTTGCTCAACAGCAGGACTCTGAGGTCCAGACTCTCAGTCAACAGTCGCGTTCCCAGGCGTTGTAAGTCGTTGCCCTGACAAAATCACTCGAAAACATCAGGACAACAGCTCTCATAAGCCCAGCACCAGAACCGCTCCTTCTTGATCATAGCTCAGATGATTGCCATAGGCTGCCACTTCACTAGCTTCTGGTGAAGCTGTCTCAACCTTCTTCAGCGTTGCCTCCCCGAAAGTACGCTGAACAAAGAAAGCTGCAAAACCCGTAGGAAACAAAGCAAAAGCTGCCTCAGTTGCCTCTGTGATCCTGGCCAAAAATGATTGAGTCCATTGTTGAATCACAGAAGAAACTTGTGTCTTTTGCCTTCAGTATCCCAATCCTTGAGGCGTGTTCCATTCTGCTAGAGTAAACTTCTTGAAAGCAAACTAAACTTATTGAAAGCTTCTGGAGTTTCTGAAAGAGCAGTGCTCCTCTCCAAAAGCTCAGCTGAAGTGGCGCAAGCACGGCCTTCGTTGCTTGAGAGTTTCATGAGTAGCTTTGGCTGCATTGCTACCCAGCTCCTAGTAGTAGCTCCTTGCTCCTAGTAGCGATGCCAGGAGCCCCTAGTAGCGTCCTTGTTCCTAGTAGTGAGGCCAGGAGCCCCAACAAAAATGCAAGCACTAGATGCTGTTGACGCGTCGCATTCTGCCTGCATCTTCCACAATAGCACATCGATCACGGAGAGCCATCTGTTCAAGCCAAATTGGAGAAGCAAATCACTCTGAAACAGCTGGAACTCAATGGATACACTTCCCAAGTTCAATTAGTCTTCCTAGCACAAGTAAAGTTTTAAAGGTGGGAAGCAAAGGCTCAGGGGCAAACCCCAGTGCTCAAAGTTTCTGCGATGTCGCTGTTGTCGCTCAGGAATGCCTCTGTTTACCACAGCAAAATCAAATAAAGGAATAAAAAAGAAAAGTCTATTCAAAGGCCTAAAAACAAGCGCAAAAGAAAACAGTCATAGTTGCAAAGGAGACCAAAGGAAAGTCATAGTCTAGTTGCCCGATCATGGCGGGAAATTCACAGGCGGTTGACCCTGCCATGACATGCCATAAGCATACCCTGGCTTTTCAACCCTGTCAGCTATGCCGAGCTTAGCTTGCAGTCTAAATCAAATCGCCGCGTTGGTCACAACAATCGCCTCGTCACCACGAGGGACTTGCTCGATGGCATGGATTCCTGGCTGGCTTCATTGATAGACACCCAGAACTGCAACATTGGTACCCGATGCTACAACTCGATCAAGCGGGTTTTGCGTCTGGGCAATTGCACGCAAATCCTCCATTACTGTTCCATCCTCCTTAAGTCAGGGCCTCGTTTAGACAGCGAGGGTCGGTCATCGGGCATGTTTGGCCATCCCTCACCATCACTTTAACCACCCTCCATTACTCGCACTTTGGCGAATGTGAAGCGTGCTGCAAGGGTCAAACGCAAAGAGCCTAGAAGCTCGATCTGCAATCAATTAGAACCTCACAGGAAAATCACGCTCAAGCTGACACAAGCAGCAATTGGAATTTGAAACTTGATATTCTGGTACTTGCTGCAACAAGGAACCATGTGGATCGAAGGGGTTGGTTTGTCTACCTACACATATGGACACCTAAAAGACATTATTTGTCCTGTGTTCAAAAGTTCAAAACTCACTGGCGATAAGGCTTGTAGTTTACCGTCTGTCGCCATCCGCAGACGTGACTGCCAAAACTCAAGGGTCTCTTGGGCCCGTTGCAAAAGGACTGGCATTCAACAACAGAATGTCTAATTTATTCTAATTGCAACCTATCAAACCCTCACAGGAAAGTTGGAGGAGTTGGAGTTTGAAGGAGCTTTTGTGTTTCCACAAATCGACCCTCCAGAAACATTGGTTCAGAAGTGGCTACAACATGGTGACAAGCTTGATTCAACAACCGAGGGAAAATGTCAAACAAAGTCACATTTACGCTCGTGTCATGGGCACCAATAACTAGGGAATCATATCTGCCTCGGGCTTACCCTTGTTGAGCATGGGCCACATGGGTGATAAAGATTGGCTTGCCTATAGCAGGTGTCTGCGCTCTAGTTGCAAATTAACATCACAAGCTTTTGAACAAAGTTCAAACACCCGGTTCCATATTGAGCCTCACCCTATTGTGGAGCTTTGATGAATTTCAATGCTCACGTGGAGAGCGCAGTGTCCATGCATGTTCGAGTTCATTCCCATGTACTGTGCTTTGGTTTGTGAGAGACACCGGCTATCTACCTCTGTATTCCAAGGCAGCTCAATCATATCATGCTCAGTCATCAAAAATGTATATCGTCTCTGCCAAGTAAACCTGCCAAAGAACCCTCTCCGAGTTCGCCTCGGGCGTTCCAATCAAATTCTGCTTGGTCAGGTATAGGACACCTGCCCAGGACCAAATGGTGTAGACATTGTTGGCCACGTCGCAGTCCTGCAAGTACACCTGATGTGAAGAATGAGTTCCTTTGCCTTGGTCGGTGATTAACTGGCCATCGATGAGCAGTCCGGGTTTGCTCTTCTCCTTTGAGCCATAGCTCAACCCAGTACTTCCCGCGACACTTAGAATGGAAGCACCTCCAGCTTTCAAAGCGGCACAGGCCTTGTTCAATTGATCTTCGTTTTCTTGGTAATCAACCACTGGAACGTCCTTGACCCGCACGCAGTTCGGGCTGATGAATTGCTTGCAAAGGTTCAGATTGTCATCATGCGCCGGATCATCATGATACAACATTTTCCTGCCGTCAGGACCCAAATACCACTGCATTGATGTGGGCTCCTTGTCGAAGAAGGCTTCCATCTTGGTTGGTTCTTCCTGAATCATGTCGGGGTACATTACTTGCAAGACAGAGTCTGTTGGGGCAGGGCAGCCTTTCGGCGCCTCTTTCAAGTGGCTCAAGGATGCATAGGTCCACATGGCCGTAAGCCCTGCAGACATCATGGGAAAAGACTTGCCTTCTTTCACTGCCTCGAGCTGGTCGCATTTCTCTTGGCAAAGATGCTCAATCTTTGTGGGTTGCATATGCTTCATCTTCCTGCCCACAGCAACGTCGACCTTATCATTGGACAAGGGCACCAAACCAGGCTGAAGATCGTAGATGTTGTCACAAACCTTGAATGACTTGTGCATTGTGCCAACCCAGAAGAGTCGCAAACTCATCTTGATTGCTTGGGCGGGGGCCGACCAGCTCAAGGCGGCAAGGGGAGCTACGCTGCCACAAGTCCCCGTTCCATATTGGTTGACACTATGAGTCAAAATGGTCCGCAAAATGTTGCAAACCCCATAGCCCACCACGCCAGCTGCATCATGCACCTGTGCTACTGCAGGTTTGTTTGGAGCATCTGGCTCCGTCACCGTTACAGATCCTTTGGTCCATGATGGATATTTGCCCCAGCGCGTGAGAGCAAAGTTTGCAAACCGCGGTTTGACACCACGTTTCTTGAGCTCAAGGGAGGCACCAATGGCTGCCTTGATGGCCATACAGGTGTTGTCCTGTAGGTGTTGCTCGCAGTACTGCTCAACCCCAAGCTCATTCGACATTTCAGCAACGCGGCCTGTTGAACCAAAAGTCTGTGCCTCAAGGGCAAAAGTTGAAAAAAACAAAAGCCCAAAGTGCATCCATCCGCTTGGCTCCACTGCATATGTTATATAATCTGTATGTTTGTTCAGTGTGAACTAGCTGGATAGACATCTGGAACAAATGGGAATACACTAGTTGCAGAACGAACAAAAAAACAAACCAACCAACCAACAAACAAATCAACACACGAGAGCAAGCAAGCAAGCAAGCAAGCAAGCAAGCAAGCAAGCAAGCAAGCAAGC